CTATTCACCTCCCTCTAGCGTTGGGCATATATTCTAACAATTGGTATCGGAGCCATACTCTCTAAAAGACTTAACCGTTTGAGAGAAACGATCAATGGCTTCTACTCAAAACTTATACGCAGGTTTAGGTGAAGGACAATCCACCACGAGGCCTTCGTTATTTGACGGAACGAATTACACGTATTGGAAGGAGCAGATGACGATTTACATGCAATCCAACAACTTTCTCCTATGGAGAATTATCAGGAATGGCGAGAAAGTGCCCATGAAGAAAGTCAGGGAAACCACCGTTCCCAAAACCGAAGATGAATGCGATGCGCAGGATATCAAGAAAATAGAGAACAACGCCAAGGCTATCAACATTCTCTATTGCGCAGTAAATCCGGTTGACTACCGGAAAATCTCATGTTGTTCCATAACCCGACCCCAAATTCGTGGGACGGACACGACCCCAAATTCGTCTTCATCACTCGAGTCCTCCACATCACGTTCTTGGTTGGTGGATGCCTTGAGGGCGATCCCATTCTTCTTTTGTTCACCTAGAGAGGAGAAAAGAATGGTAGACTCATAGGTTTTGAGATTACCTCTAAGCCCGTCGATGGTGACGTTGGTGATGTCGATAGATTCTTGAATGGCATCGGCTTTGGAACGCCACTCCGATGTGAGGCTTCTTAGGATTTTTCTTACGAGTTCTTTGTCTGTGTATGTCTTCTTGAGGGCATGAAGATCGTTTATGATTTTTGAAAATCGTTCAAACATATCGTCGATTTTCTCGTTCTCCTTCATATGAAACAATTCATATTCATGGGTTAGAAAATCTATCTTAGCTTCTCGGACTTGATCTGTACCTTCATATGTGATTCCTAGCTTGTCCCATATTTCCTTGGCGGTGGAACAACATGAGATTTTCCGGTAGTCAACCGGATTTACTGCGCAATAGAGAATGTTGATAGCCTTGGCGTTGTTCTCTATTTTCTTGATATCCTGCGCATCGCATTCATCTTCGGTTTTGGGAACGGTGGTTTCCCTGACTTTCTTCATGGGCACTTTCTCGCCATTCCTGATAATTCTCCATAGGAGAAAGTTGTTGGATTGCATGTAAATCGTCATCTGCTCCTTCCAATACGTGTAATTCGTTCCGTCAAATAACGAAGGCCTCGTGGTGGATTGTCCTTCACCTAAACCTGCGTATAAGTTTTGAGTAGAAGCCATTGATCGTTTCTCTCAAACGGTTAAGTCTTTTAGAGAGTATGGCTCCGATACCAATTGTTAGAATATATGCCCAACGCTAGAGGGAGGTGAATAG